GCTTGTGCAGTTCGGTAACTGCTGTTTTTGTCTCTGCTTCTCTCTGTGACTCTCTCTGGTTCCGCACAATGTAGTCAGGATATATCCCCCGCATCCGGATCATTCCATCTAGTCGTAGTCATCGTACTCCCATCTTCGTCTCTCGCATATGGCCCGTGTAGATAGTAGGTATGTAGATGTTCAATGCTCATGACACCATGCAACCATGCACTCAGATCCGGGGCAAGTCGATACAAGAACAACAGCGACACGCAATCAACAGCAAGCTACATATTCAAAGCACCGTGTATGCAACGATGTGTCTGGACAACAACACTGGACGTCGTACATACAAAACATACAATAACCACGATAGATCCGCACAACACACCGGCGTCCGAAGTCGTCCCCATACCGCCACACCGAATTCAGACTCGAGACGCGAGTACTCAATCATCACGGAGACGGCGGCTCGTTGTACAGCTCTCCAACCGGCTCCCCATCCTTGTCCAACGGCCAAAAGTTGTTCTTGAACAACCCGTCCGGGTCGTACTTGCGCTTGAGCGCGGCGAGCCGGGCCCAGTTCTTGCCGTAGCACGCCATCGCGCGGGACGCGGGCTCGTGCCTGCCGAGGAACTGCAGTGTGCACACACGTGGAGCGATCAGTCAGTCAGGGCGTGCTTCTGCAGGTAGAGACGTGCTGCAGCAGGACGAGACGCGGTACGTACAGTGGGGAACGGCCCGCCAACAGAGTGCGGCCGGATAGTATGCTTCATCCAGTCCTCGGCGGTGCTCACGCAGCGCGGGTCGTCGACGCCCATGTCCCACTGGTGGAGCGCGGCGACAGTCCATGCTGCCTCGCGCTGTTCTTTGGGCAGGCAGGTGTCGTCGAAGTCGCAGATGGCGCCACCTGCGAGCTCGAAGATCCACGCTGTGCAGTTGGCAAGTCAGTTTATGTCAGCGTGATTCACGGTTTAGTTTGAGTTCCCCCCAAGATAGGTGAGGAATAGAAGGGGAAGGAGGGGAAGGGGAGGTTACGTACTGCATCCGATAGGCGTATCGGCGAACTCGATGACGGTTTTTGTGATGAGCTCGTCCGGGAGGGACGTAACGAGCGAGGAGCGGAGGAACCACTGTCTGCCGGCTGTTCGAGTCCCACCACGCACCGCGCAGTGAAGGCGAAGATGGTGGAGTGAGCATCCATATCTAACGAGGGAAGACGGAAGACGGACCTTTTCCCCTTAGAACCTGCGCGACGCTGTCCTGTTGGTTCAAAAAGCTCTTCTCGTTGACCTCGTTGAGGAGGCAGCGCTCGCCATCCCAGCTCGAGATCGCCTGGAGGAACTCGAGCCCCTTCTCCTTCGGGCCGACGTAGCACATCTGAATGACGACGAGCGAGTCCTTGTTCGCCGGGCCGGCCGTGAGGAGGACGTTCGCGTAGAGCTCGCGCGGGGCGCCCTTGATGCAGTCACGGAAGTGCTTGATGAGGGATGCGGCGGTCGCGCGGTGGAAGCGGCTGCGAATAGGTTAGTATTGCATTAGCATAGTGTAGACCGGAAGCCCGAGGGCGAGGACGTACTAGATGAGGTTGCCGGCGAAGACGACCGGGACGGGGAATGCGCGTGCTTTGTACCGAGTTGCGATGCCGAAGGCGGGGCCTGCGCCGCGCACGGCCCACCACAGTTCTGTAGACGCGATGGATCGCTCAGTCAGCGCTCGTTCGAAGCGAAGCATACAGCTCAAGTAGCTTACCGGGGTCCTCGTCGGCGTTGACGGTGACGATCTGCCCGTCGGCGAGCACCATCTCGACCTCGACGAGGTTGTCGATGCTCAGCCCGTGCATCCTGCTGATGAAGCCGAAGCCTGCGAGCAGCATGATGGCGGAACCGGCGGGGTGTGCAGACCTACGACGTCAGTACAACCCTCCATGAGAAACGTTCCAGGATAAGTTGATTCCGAGCGCAACTCACATCGGTATATGGTACGGCACAGCTGCGCCCCTAGATTCTCCGGACACGGGATCGACGCCGTCGAGCGGGTTGTCGGCAGTGTAGATATCAACCTCCTTCTGGCTCAAGCCCGCGCCAAACGTCACATACGCATGCGGGTGCACCGGTCTGGCATGGGGCATCGTCCCCAGATGGCCCGACGCGGCCTGCGCAGCCTGCAGAGCCTGCGCGAATGCGGCGGAAGCCCCAAGCCCGGGAGACGAGAACGGCAGTCCAGGCGGCATAGCGCCTGATTCAGAGGACGTTGCCGTAGGAGGCATGGGTGGCATGGAGAAGGGCGACGAGCCGAGGACGCCACTCGCACTGAACCCCATCCCCATCGCGGGGTTCCACGCTGTCACCCCCGACGAGCTGCCCACTGCGCGCGCGTTGATATTGAGTGGCGGAGGGAGGAACGTCGGGAGTGCAGACACGCCCACGCCCACTCCCGCTCCGGAGGCGGGCCCAGAGATCGCGGCGCCCGACAAATAGGAGAAGGGATCGGCATTAGGCTGGCTCTGGGGGGTGCCATCGGAGTCGAGTGTCGGGCTGGTCAAGGCAGACGTGGCGGAGGTGCTCGCACTTTGCGCCGAGAAGCCCGAGCCGCTGGCAGACGAATCCGTCGAGCCGCTGGAGATCTGGCGCGTCGCGTCGTCCATGGCAGGCGGCACTGCGACCTCGCGATCGTGCGCACTCGCACGTGTCGACTGGGGACGATCTGTTTCTGTTTCGACTGAGGACTCGGGCTCTGGAGAGTGCAGACGGGGACGCTGGGAAGGAGGTTCGTGCGTTGGAGGCTGCCGCGGAGCCTCGCCAGGGATAGGTGGCATAGCTGGGCCTCGCAGGAACGACGACACGGCGTGCGACGCGTTTGCGTAGTTCCCCGTGCCCATGATCGACGTGATGTCCTCAGGCTCTGCAGACGGTTCGCGCCGCCGCTTGCCCGTCGAGGGTGTCGTGCGAAGGTCAGGTCGCTCGGCGGGAGGTGGTGGAGGTGGAGGAGCAGCGGGGGTCGCTACAACGCGGATACCCTGGGCGCGCGCCTTGCCTTTACTGCCCGGCGGGGGCATGTCGCGCATTGGCGTCCAATCCTGCGTCCCTTCTTCTGCATTTTGGAGTGGGGGCTCGACCTCGATGTCCTTTATTTTGCTCATATCGACGACCACGTCCCCCGCGACACACCAGCCTGCGATGCCGTACCCGCCCGCGCGCACCGACGGCGAGAGGCCGTGTCGGACACAGAACGCCACCACCGCGCTCACATCGCGCGCGTCCAGGGGCGAGACGAGGAGGCGGCAGCGCGGCTTGAGCCGCCCGTTGAACGTCTTTGCACGTTCGGGGAACCTGCGTCTGCTGTGTGAGCCCCTGTCGTCGACTCCCATCGTGGCGGGAAAAGAGACTGCTCACTGTGGATCGGTCGGAAAGAGGACATCGCCCTTGACGGAGGCGCGCAGCTCGTCGACGAGTGCCTGCGGGAGAGCCGGAACCGTGGAAGCGTCCTGTTCTGGTTGCAGATCCTGTTCGAGTTGCTGTTCCTGTTCCGGGAGACTGAGAAAGGGTCGGGGAGGCGGATCCATCCAGGTAGGTAGGCCCAGGAACAACCCGCAGCGGTACTGGATGCGTCTCTGAGAGGGCAGCGATCGGACCTCTCACCTGGGGTCGGCTCTTTAATAAGGTCACGACAGCTCGACAGCTTGACGGGGGACGGGGGGGAAGGGGGGCACCGCAACGTGGCGGACTCGGCAGTCGTCTGACTCCGCCGCCGCCGTCGTCTCCCGGTTCAACGTTCACAGCGAAGGTTACGTTCGAGGGCACGGCCGAGGAGAGCAAAACCTGAGCGCTGAACCTTGTCCAGACTCCCCAGACGCGCGGATGCAAATGAATTCGGTACTAGGTATGCCTTCTCAATAGGGGGCGCCACCTTGGCGGTTTCGATTTTTGATACGGGCTGTCAAGACAGTTTGAATAAGCGAACGGGAACGGCAACGTGTACTATTACCGCCTGGCATGGTGGGTAGAATGGACCAGGTTAGCTAGCACGGCGTCCGCCGGGAGGGGGTAGTGCGACGGAGCGAGGTCAGGAATAGCCACATCAACTGCGGGGGGGCATGGTGGACGACTCGGAGCTCCTCGTATTACGTTGCTTCACGTACTGATCAGGTGGCAGCCAGTGACGCAGAGCGCCATGGACATTGTAAGCGTGCATCGGTACCGACAGCAGCACATGCAACAACTGGTGAATGTTTGGGCCTAGAGAACGCGAATTGCACCCGCTCCGTCACGCCTGTCAATTTTAGGGGGGTATACACGACATCCAGCTCGGCGGTGCGCACCGCGAATAGGAGGCTAGTACCAGATAGAGGAGTGGTCTGGAACTGGCCACGCAGTATCACCCAGCTTGCAAGCTCGGAACCCAGCTGCAGTGCCAGCAGGCCGAGCGGAGCCGAGCACTCACTGAAGCTGGGGCCCGGGGGCTTGAAGCTAAGGCATGAGTAGGGGATTCCCGTTCGTGTGATATTAAACGCTATCACAAGCTCCCAAACGTCGCTAGGAGTCCATTTCTATGGGTTATGCGTAGTCCATAGATGATGTGAACCGGGACGGTCCGGATGGAAGAACGTCAGGAGAACGCAACTACGTACTCACAACGAGCGCACACTAACACGGGTCCGACCGCAGTGTCAACTTCGTATTATAAATGTCCTGCATGTTGAACAATTATGGTATGAGTACGGCCACGGAGTATGGGGGATTCTACTCGCTCACCCTCAGTGCTCACGATAGGGGCTGTTGCTTCAGCTTTAACTTGACCGACTCGGAGATGGAGCTGGAAGCGCATATGAGTACCGACGGATGTAGCTGATATAGAGCACCATTTAAACATTCATGTCTCAAGTGTACCGCGATGGATGGAGGAGTTCAACTTCAAAATCATCCCGCGACTGAAGGCGTACATACCTGGCTATATGCGTTCCGGCCCGGTGAACGTAGTTGCAAAACATTCGTGTTTATTAAACGTAGAGAACCATTCAAGGGCACATGGTGTAGTTGGTTATCACATCCGCTTAGCACTGTTAGGGTGTTTGCGGGGGGTGCTGGGTTCAATTCCCAGTGTGTCCAATTTTTTTTGCTTTGTCTTTCTCTGTTACTTGCGTATGTGACGTATTCAACGCCGCCGTCTGGAAGATGCTCTGCACACCACTGATCGGACGGAGTTGCACAGAACTAGTGCATAGAGCACGACAACGCGCAAGATCTTGTTATCTTCCACACCATCCAATTGAACCCCTGGACGGACCATGCGCAAGGCCACCTCTACACCACGCCAGCATTCCCGTATGTCGACGCGTATACCTCCACAAAGACCACACAGGGGCGGGGCGCAACACCTCCATCAGTACTCCCACCGCCCACTCAAGGAACTCAGAGCTGATGACGCCGACCGTACCAGCGTGACCGTATGAAGTCTAGGGACGAGCCGCTCCGAGCCTGTCTGCTCGTGATGTACACAAGGACCTTCGTGCCGACGTCTCCTTTCAAAACGCAAAACGTGAGTCTTTAGTTCAGTTGCCGGGTTCAGTGCTGCCCGGTTCACATTGTTGCCTACAGGATCCCGGATGACAATCGTGTGTTGACGACGGCGTTGACGTTGGCCGTGGCATATTAGCCCTCGAGTTCGCGATGGCGCACGCCGTCAAGGTACGAGTACTAGTGCGTCCGAATCGTGAATGAATTGAGACGACACTGTTGAAGTCGAGGTCTATGTCGTCGTCGTCGTCGTCTCTCATGGTGCCGGTGCTGAAGGTTATGCGCGAGCGCAATGGCGGCGGCGGCGACGACGACGACGTGCTGGCCGAGAGGGAAGAGATTGACCATAACCACGGATAGGTGGCAGATCCGCGGCGCGTGCTCGAAGAAGAGCTCTTGTTTGAGTTTTGTGCGAGACGCGGCGCGAGACCGTCGTCGTCCTCGGCCGCTTCTTCAAGTGCGTTCCAATCATCTTCCTGCTGCTGCTGCTGCTCCTCTTCCTCGTCTGGATGGAAGGTGGTTACAGTCAACAGTGAGGTCGAGATGCGACTCTACCGCAGCAGACAATAGCGCGTAGCGGGTTTCCTGGGCTGTCGAGTCCGGAACGGTGAACGTCGTCCCAAACCTGGAGGGCCAAGAAGAGTGGCATTGCATAGGCCCCCCACCGCGAGTACGTACGTGGCGGCAATCCAGATCCTTCAGGCAGGACACGGCGTCGCTTTGATGAAGATGGTGAGAAGGATGTCGACGCTCGTCCGACAGGGTGTTGATGTTGATCAGGACGTTGCGGCGCCGGAAAAAGACCGTTACTCCCTGACGTTGGTCAAGGTGGTGAGGTGGTGAACGGTCTCGTCGACTTGGAGCACCAGTGAAATCGAGTTGATTGATTCTTTTCAAGTCGAATTTGCTCGTTGGTCTGTCGACTCGGCACGGGGCACAACAGTATGAATACATTAGCCTTGGCAGCCTTCCTTGGAAGTTCAGTACGGCGAGTGAGATTAGAGCACCACCTTGGTGCTTGACGACTTGATTACTCGAGTCCTGCGCGTGTCAATAATGCACCAGTACGGCTGAGATGGTTTGAATGTCTTCGAAGGTGGCGTCCTCCGTCGCGGAGTGGGTGGACATGCATCCCGTTGAGCGCTGGGGCCGAGAGAGGCCGAGAGTCGGAGATAGTTTGACCTCCCCTTCTTCAGTAACGCCGCTCGAATATACTTTTCGGTACTCAAATAATTGTTACACTATTTAGAACTCCGTCTAGAAGACCATGAACACCTTACTGTTTCGTTCTTGCTCTCGGCGTGCATGCCACAAGCATACCTGAATTTCAATCACTCCCAACTCACCCATAGCCTCGAATCTGGACGGATGCTAGGTCCCTCATAGAGCTACTCATGGTGATGGTGCATAACCAAGGATGCGGTGCAACACAGGTGAGTGGCAGAAGCACTACATGCCAGCATGCATAGCATCGCGGGACTTACGCCCGTCGTGCCTACCGACACCCACAGAGAGTCAGGAAGTCTCTCAGAGCACAGCAGGAATGAGCTACACCACGAGCTCCAGAAGCTCCTCGGGCGCTGTGCCACTGCGAAGATTCCGGTGTTTTGTCCGCCCGGCACGAATAGACCTATCGCCATCCTCCTGCCCCGAGGCCTTGGCAGATGCCCTCCCACCATCTGCATTAGACCTACTGCATCCGTAGGGCGAACCTCACGACCGTAAAGTTGTGTCCTCGTCCTCAGATGCATATCCTTATACTTGCAGCGGACCTTGAGACTCGCACTGCCTCCGAAGCCTCAGCGCATGCGCACTGGCTTCCATTTTGCATGATGTGGACCTCGTGCGGCCTGATCCTGCCTGATATCCCACAGATCTTTCGCGCGCCCGCACCGAGCGCTGTGATGACCCTCCGCCTACCGCTACCTCCGGGCGCGGAGCGCTCATCTGCCAGTCGATGGGGCTCCAAGGGCCGGAGAACGCAGAGGCACAGTGCCCGTCTCGTGTTGCGCTATTTAATCCCTCGTTCATGCTGTAGCTCGGCTTGCAGCGCTGGTTCTGCGCCCTCTTACCGGACTTCAGTGTTCACTGTCCCTCTGCTGCGGAGCGTCCGATTCGAATTCCGAACCACGTCCAAGCAAGATGTCCGACGCGTCTGACTATGAACGACTGTGAGTATCTCTCCAGAGTTTGCATGGATCAACGGTTGACGATGTGTCTAGGCTCGTCGAGAACTACTGCATCGTTGCGTCTACAGGTGGGTACCGTGTGGCGCGAGCACGTAGACTATGTTGCTCACCTCGACGCGTAGCGTTGCTATGGTTCGACTTCGCTCTGACCTTCACGACCGAGGTCCGGCGCATCTGGCGACGAAGATTCACTGGCGCCACCGTCGTCTACTTGTTCACCCGCTATGCCGCGCTCATTGAGCGCGTCTTCTTCGTCTTGGAAGTTCTGCTCTGGAACTCTACAGATGAGGTAAAGCCGTGCTTGCTGCTTGACAGGGACGACCGGTCTGACCATTCTCGCAGACCTGTGGCCGGATCGACCGAGTGGACGACGTCCTCACGATCATCAATTATTTCGCCTTCGCCTGTACGTGAACGAAGCAGTATTAAATCTGTCAAACTAGAATGTACCCACATGATCTGCAGCGTTTACGATCCTCCGCGTGTATGGTGTCTGGGGACGGGACTGGAAGCCTCTCGTAATTGTGGTTCCGCTGACCCTCGTCAGACCCGCCCTCTACATCGTGAGTACTCTGACCTCCACGATCCATGAGCCTGGCTCACAGAACACCAAGGTTGAGAGCTCTAACTACGTTCCTATCCAATTTGGACCTCCGTGGGGATGCGCTAATGTCTATGGCTATTCCAACGAGATGCTCGCAAAGTACGTGCTCATCACTCTCTTGCCCTATCGGTACCAGGAAACTTAAACCGTGTCTTCTCATAGATGTACGTTCGTGTTCTGGAGCATACTTTGCTGAATCCTGATCGTCCTCCAATAGTTTCCACTGTGGCAAAGTCTGCGAATATCGCGGCAGATGCGATCCTCATCGCGCTGACATGGTGGAAGACCTTCGGGATCAACAAGGCCTCGACGAGACTTGGTGTCCGGACACCACTGGCCACCCTGCTCCTTCGTGATGGTAAGTCATTTGAGTGATGCTGCATCGGACTACGTTTGACATGATGTCTATAGGCACTGCATACTTCCTGTATGTTCTGAGAATGTGTCTCTGCTACATGGGTGACTGACATGGATGCTTTGCTTCAGTATCCTGCTGGCAATCCAGATTATCACAATCGTCAGCAGTCAGATCGGATCTGTAAGCCGCCTTCCTCGTCTTCGTTGCACATTAAATACTCACTGAATCCCATCTTCCAGAGCCTCACAGTCTGGCTGGTATGGCCGTATTTCGACCAGATGTACGCCCATGGGCCATGCTCCAGATTTTGACCTCCGCATACTCACTCCAACTTTTCCCTAGCTTCACCGTGATCTTCCTGTCACGCTTCATGCTCGACCTGCGCGGGCTCTACTTTTCCGAGCACGTCAACGCCGAAGGGAACGCGACGGACACGACGACGCGCAGCGGCCACGTCCTCTCGGACATTCGCTTCACGACCTCGAACGTCGTCGGCAACCTCGGCGCCACGCTCAGCACCACGCTCACGTACTCGGACTTCTCGGCCACATCTTCGGTCGTCTCCTCGCATCCGGAGAGTGGCGGGGGAGAGAAGCAGAAGCAGGGGCAGGGGCAGGGGCAGGTGTGCCCAGATTGGTACGAGGACGAGGTCCCGAAGTATGCGGATCATCCGTTCGAGGAGGGTATGGTGATCCCTATATGGGTGGATGTCCCGAAAGTGGAGGAAACGGAGCTGGAGGAGGTCCAGTCTCCTGTGAGCCCGGTGAGTATTTCGAGGCATCTATATCTATGAACCAGGACTCACAACACCCATTTCCCTCGCCATGTAGGAGTCACCGCAAAATACCTCAGCCGTGTAATGCTTGTAAGTCTGCGAAGCTACCGACTTCCTTGTAAAGGGATGGCTACGAGCATGGTTGGATTATAAGAGCTTTTATTGTACTGTAACTATATACCCTGAGCTATCAAGCCATTGTGCCAGTGAGTATTTATGTGACGATGGGACTTCTCGTCCGACAGAGGCTTCGCCACTAGACGTAAGCGCCTGCACGTGACTGTTGAACTTCGGTTAAGTCTTACCGGTGGCACCACACCGCAGCCATGAGGCCGAACGTTGAACTCGGTACTTCCACCACCACCACCTACGCTCTTCAACCAGCTGATCTAAAGCAGGCCATGCTGTTCAAATCTGCGGGAGATGCCGGCGCTCAGGCGTCCCATGAACTCATAATATTCTGCCACGCGCAAAGTCGCGTGCTCCTCCCGCTTCCTAGGTCCTACGAGGTTTGTTTCAATCTCATGCACGGACGACTGCGTGTTCTGACAGCATATACAGGAGGCGCAGCGGTTAGCACGCGACCAGTTCTCACTATCAGGGGAACTCGTATTCGAGTCCGACGAACTTCTCGAAGGCAGCCACGTTCGGATCCACCCATTAGCG